CAGATTTCTCACACGTCCAAAAACACTGAATGAGTCTTTTTGAACATTCCAGTCACTTATGTGCTCTAGTTATCCTTGATGTGAAGGGGAAAGAAATGGTCTCTGATTTCCACATTTCAGCACCCAGCATGGACACCCGAATGCTGCTGCTGTGCTTTTTCATCAAGCCCATATCAAGATGTGGTTTTAAAGCACCAGGTTTTTTCCAGGTAAAATGTGAAATGGAGTTTCCCAAAGCATGCTACTGTCATCATATGGATGGGTAAGCATCAGGATGGAGAAATAAGGCATGTTCTTGCAGCCAGTATGCATTGAAGCAGGAATAGACTAACACAAAACCTCAGAGGACTCAGTCATCACTCCTCTGCTGTCATCTCTGACCACAATCTCTCTGTATAAACAAAGCCTCTGGCCACTGCAGGGTTTTCTGGCCTGCTGTAAAATGTTTTGCCACCTCTCTCACAGGAATTGCTGATGCTTAAAAAAGAGGCAGCCTTTTCTCACAGTGCCAGCGTCTCTAGAAGAGTCGGGATGTCGAGAAAGTACAGGGGGATGCAGACAGGAATACCCAGAAACTTGAGCAATTGCAGTCAGTTGTAATCTGGATTAATGAGCACATAATTATTACTCCAGATTAATATTAGTCCAGATTGCAAATGAAGTCCATTCTGGGAGAACTGAATGGTGTTGGTCAAACTCAGCCTTCTTCTGAATTTTGACTTTTTAGTAGCAATGAAACAGATTTCAGGAGACAAGAAACATGACTTGGCTGCTCTTCAGCACTGTTTTGCTCAGTGTGTGAAAGAGAGACAGAAAGACATATTGCATCTCTTTTATCACCTGAAGGGAATTAGTGAATCAGCATGATTGTAAGACAGTCTCCCGACAACAAAAATACTCTGAACAACGGCTGAGTTGCTGTGACAGGGTCCTCCAGAGCATCAGGATTTATTTATGTGTGTTCAGATTGGTTTGGGGCTTTTCTAAACATTGATATGCTCAGTCCTGTACATACTAACCATCACATCAGCCACAGCCCTTGAGTGAACAGGAATTAATAAGCATTCACTGCTTGGGACCCCCAAAGTCAAACTCAGGGTGTGCTTCATCCTAAGGTAGCTCACACTTGTACACAGCATCCCCATGGAATTATAGCATTACACACACAGCATAGGGCTGGAACTTCTGTTCTTTGATACCTTTGCTATATATTTTTCTGATATTGTTTAACAGAAATCAACTACATGCAGTATTTGGAGCACTGTCACACGTACTCAGGAGATAATGTCAATGGAATTGTGTGTTGTCACAGGATAACAGCCTCCCACTGCTGCTGAAATGCCAAATTGAGGCTGAGGCATTTATGGAAAATAAACGTCAAGTCAAAGCCAAGATGTTTATTTTAAAAGCAAGAGACATGGATCTTGTGGCAATGTTCCATCATGTCTCTATTTCTCTAACAACAAATGTCCAGTGTGAATAGAGCCAAGTGGTGACTTCTTCCCGGGCCAGCAGGGAGAGGGTGAAGCCTGATCACTTCACATGAGGATTCTCAGAGTTGTTTCTCACCTACTTTCCTGCAAGTTTTAGTCAACTGTCCAGGTAGCAAACACAAAATGATTTACCAGATGCATGCTAAGTTTTCTAAGAGATTAAAGAAGACAGCAGGAAGAAAAATGGACAGCAAATGCATTTTTAATTTGCTTTTAGGTGGTTCTTTTTCTCCAGAGAAGGAATTACAACATGAGGCTCACTGAAATCAATGGGAGGATTTCCAGGCTTTTCAGGGGACTTTGATGAATGCCTTAAGAGAACAAATAGCTCATGTTTTTAGAGGGAATTATGTTAATAATAGTGGTCCCTGAATTTGATTCATGAAGGCACAGCTGGACCAAGACTGGGCAAGGAAGACAAGATCCTTGTCTAAGGGGCACCACAAGGCAACACAGAGCTCAGAGCAGCCCTGGAGATCCAGGGATGTTTTACAGCAGAGTGGCAGCAGCAAATCCACTGCCCTAGCTACTGCTACTATGAAGGAAGGGGTTAGTCCCAGTGTCCAGCATCATTCCCAATCTCCTGCCCCACTGCTGGTGCTGCTGGTAGGGACAGAATCCATTCAGCAGAACCCTCATCTTGGAATCTGCTTTGCATTGAGGGAGGTGCGTGAAGATAAGCTGGAAGCTGTGCAAAGCATCTCAAAGGACTGGGTTTAAAAAACACCCACATAGCTCACTTCAGTTCCTGAAATGCTGAGGTTTCACAGCTCATGCCAACAGGGTGACTCAAAGGCAATACATTTTAGTTCTCATCAGACCTACCTGTTGCTCATTAAAAACTGTGATTTGGAGAGCAAGGAGAAACAAAGCATTTCAGTGCTGTAAGCTCTTCTCTTGACCTAACAGAACATCCTTAAATAATATGCAAATGACTGGAAGTATATAAATCATTTAAAGAGCTGTCTGAAATGCAAAAAAAAAACCAAAAAAAAAAAACCCAAAAAAACCCCAAACAAACAAAAAAAAAGAAACAAAACAAAACAAAACAAAAAAAAAAAAACAAACAAGGAAACTTGGAGTTAGAGGAGATTTGCAAAAGGTAATGCTCTGAAAGGGGTTAAGCCCACAGTGAACATTTGGCTGCTCTGTTCTGCAAGGGCCAGAGGGATGTTCTGTACAGAATTCGTAAACTTGCTTATTTTTTCCTTTGGAGATGCATTGTTTCCCAAAGACATTCTGGCTCCAGCTCTGATCTGACATTCCAGATTGATGTGTGTAGAACCAACAAAGACACGGAGAAGCAACACACAATTATGTCTTCTGCTTTATTGCATACTTGTTAATAATTTCCTTTAGTCCTCCAACCTTTAAGCTTATCTTCTCTTATGGTGGGAAGAGACCTCCTGCTGGAGATCTGATAGGATAGCTTGATAGGCAAAGAGCTGGCATTTTATTAGTTTATGGTATTTATTAACTGTGTAAAGATATTACAGCAATAATGGATCTGGACAGATGACAGATGGATGGTGCTCCAGGAATAGCAAGTAAAACAGCTGCAGGGTATCCCCACCACTGCTTCAGTGTCATCTTGGGAAAAATATGTAAGATTTTATCTGAATTTTTTCTGGCTGATTTTATGCTAAAATGGACTGTATGCATTCACAAAATTCATCCAAGCATCTCATCTGTGAAGGTTTTGGTGCAATGATGCACCATGGGCCTCGTACTTACTTTAAGTGTTCCAGCTAAATGTAGAAAAGAAAAAATTGTTTTTATCCCACAGCTCCACTAACCTGGTTTCATATGATTACTTTTTTTTTTTTTTTTTAGATCAGAATTCCAGGTACCAGACCTGGGCAAATACTCCTGGAAACAACCCTTCTGCTTTTCATTTGGCATAAGGTCTCCCTCTGTTCCTGAAGATGTCATGCCTCCTTCCCTTCCCACTAAAGAGGGTCATGCTTTGGTCCAGCAGATGACGAGCAGCAAAGCAAAGTCCATGGGAACATGAGGGAATGGTTTGCCAAGCAGCAGGTCCACGCTGGTGTGTGGCCTTTAGTCAGGGTTAAATAAACAGTGTGTAAATAAATAAATAATTTTTTTCCCAGGTTGCGACCTTGTAAATCAAGCCTAAGCCTAGAAGGGATTTTTATGGGCCAGCTGGAACAGCAGAGCAGTCTTAGCAGAATAAATATATAGGGGGAAGAAAATAACTGTGACTTCCAGTTGCTCCCAGATTGCTGTGGGGAACATTTGGTGCTGCTGTAAAGACATGCCAATGATTTAAAAGGCAGGAGAGAGGGGACATTGTTCTCATTTACTCAGTGGTTGCTCCACATTATTTTAAGAAGTTTAAAACAGTAAAATGTAGTAAAATGCAGTCTTACATCTTCAGAGCAGAACAGAGAGCCAAGCAGGTAGATGGAAATATAACCAAACAAGTTCCTAGCAGCAGGTGTCACAGGAGGGGATGGGCAGGGACTTGCTCAGTCGGTTGTCTGGGCATTGCAGCCTCCTGATGTTTCACGTACTTTACTCAGTAGCTCATTACCAAACAATGGTACTAACAGCATTAATACTTAGAGCAGTCCCTAGATTTCGTGGCTTTGACCAGACTGTGTCAAAGCTACTGCAGGCATTTTTAAAAGTCCAAAGAGATTTGTTCAGCACAGCAGATAAAGCCAGAAAAGGGAGCTGGGGCTCCCACCTCCTTACCCTGCAGTGGCTTAGTCTGGCAGGGCTGGAGGAGAAGGGGAAAAAAGGATTCGCGATGGGGAGATGCAGGGGACGAGCGGCAGCCGCAGTCCCTGCACAAAGCTGGCAGCATCACCCCTGTAAGTGGGTTTTACATGGGGGCTCAGGGGCTTCCCACGCTGGGAGAGGAGGCACTGGGGACAGGGAGCTTGGGAGCGCGACGCTTGTCCCCGATGGGGACATCCAATGGGAGGGCATGGCAATTACTTTCCAGGGCAGAGTGATGCTAACAGTGCTGGCATTTTGCATTTTCCAGGGATAAAGAGAAGTAACTTCTGCTCCAGAAGCCGGTAGGAGCCTACCCTTCCCGTATCCCCTGCCTGCCCTGCGGCTGCCGGGCACAGACACCCCTTGCCCAGGACATCCACACTGCCGTGCGGGAAGGGGCTCTGTGCCCGGCAGCCGCGGGGCACGCAGAGCAAACACGGGGATCAGGGCAGGGATAGGGGCAGGGACAGGGGCAGGAATAAGGGCAGGGATAGGGGCAGGGATTGCGGCAGGGATAAGGGCAGGAATAGGGGCAGGGACAGGGGCAGGAACAGGGGCAGGAACAGGGGCAGGAGCACGGGCAGCGGTACCGCCGGTGCGCGGGCGGGGCGCTTCAGTGCCGCTCGCTCGGTGCCGATTGGCGGCGGGCGGTGCAGGGGCGGTACCGAGGCGGTGCTGGGGCGGTACCGGGGCGGTGCTGGGGCGGTACCGGGGCGGTGCCGGGGCGGTGTCGGGGCGGTGTCGGGGCGGGCCCGTCCGGCGGCGCGGCGCGGGGCCATGCGGCAGCCCCCGGGCGGTGGCAGCGGCGGCGGCGCCGCCTTCCTGCCCGCGGCGCGGTGCGGAGCGGCGGCCGGAGCGCCCCGCACAGCCATGGGCGATGGGTGGCTGCCTCCGGACTGCGGCCCCCAGAACCGCTCCGTGGCCGGGGTGACGGCCGTGCCGCCCGGGAGCCGGCAGCTGCCCGCCGCCGAGCTGTCGCAGCAGTGGGCTGTGGGCATGAGCCTGCTGATGGCCCTGGTGGTGCTGCTCATCGTGGCCGGGAACGTGCTGGTGATCGCGGCCATCGGGAGGACGCAGCGGCTGCAGACCCTCACCAACCTGTTTATCACCTCGCTGGCCTGCGCCGACCTGGTGATGGGGCTGCTGGTGGTGCCCTTCGGGGCCACGCTGGTGGTGCGGGGCACCTGGCTCTGGGGGTCGTTCCTCTGCGAGTGCTGGACCTCGCTGGACGTGCTCTGCGTGACGGCCAGCATCGAGACCCTGTGCGTCATCGCCATCGACCGCTACCTGGCCATCACCTCGCCTTTCCGCTACCAGAGCCTCATGACCAAGGGTCGGGCCAAGGGCATCATCTGCACCGTCTGGGCCATCTCTGCCCTGGTCTCCTTCTTGCCCATCATGATGCACTGGTGGCGGGATGACGACCCCCAGGCGCTGGAGTGCTACCAGGATCCGGGCTGCTGCGACTTCGTCACCAACAGGGCTTACGCCATCGCCTCGTCCATCATTTCTTTCTACATCCCCCTTCTCATCATGATCTTTGTGTACCTGCGGGTGTACAGAGAGGCCAAGGAGCAGATGAGGAAGATCGATAGGTGCGAGGGCCGGTTCTACGGCAGCCAGGAGCAGCCGCAGACGCCCCTTCCCGCTCACCCTCACCACCAGCCCATCCTCGGCAACGGCCGGGCCAGCAAGAGAAAGACCTCCCGCATCATGGCCATGAAGGAGCAGAAAGCCCTCAAGACTTTGGGCATCATCATGGGGGTGTTCACCCTCTGCTGGCTGCCCTTCTTCCTGGTGAACATCGTCAACGTCTTCAACAGGGACCTGGTGCCGGACTGGCTCTTCGTTTTCTTCAACTGGCTGGGCTACGCCAACTCCGCGTTCAACCCCATCATCTACTGCCGCAGCCCCGACTTTCGTAAGGCCTTCAAGAGGCTGCTGTGCTGCCGCCGGAAAGCCGACCGGTGGCTGCACGGCGGCGGCGGGGAGCTGGCCCGGCTGCCCGGGGGCTTCATCAGCACCGTGGGCTCCCCGGAGCGCAGCCTGGCCGGGACCTGGTCCGACTGCAACGGGGGCACTCGGGGCGGCAGCGAGTCCAGCCTGGAGGAGAGACATAGCAAAGCCTCCGACTCGGAGTCCAAGGTATAGGGGGGGCGTGGGGCCGCGCCGGAGCCGGGACAGGGGGGAAAGGCAGGCAGGGAGACACTCAGGAGCGGAGAAAGCCCCGGCAGCTGCCCGATGGTAATGCTATTGCCGAGCGACACGATCCCTGCCGTGGCACGGGGAGTGCGGGTGTTTACTTAGGAATAAAAGCAGGTGAACTGGTGTACGACATACCTCATCCGAAACTACAGAAAACAGGAAACCCACTGAGCGGAGAGCAAAGGAAGCCAGCAGCCCATGCCAGAGGCAGCCGCCTGTCTTTGGGAGACGCGCTGTCGCGGGCACGGCGGCGGCAGCGCCCGGGTGGCTGTCCCAGGACCGTGCCGGTGGCCGAGCTGGCGGGTGGTGCTGGCCCTTGGCGGCCGAGTTCGGCTTCAGCCGGGGTCCGGCCACCCCCGCCCGGCCCCGGGCTCATCCCCTCTCCCAGGGCACCGGGGTTTTTTGGGGAGGCGCGGGGTCGGTGCTGCAGGTGCTCCGGGCACAGAGCGCGGGCGGCGAGACACAGACCTGCCGGCAAGATGAGTTTTAATCTCGGAGCAGCCGTGCTCTGCTCGCCTGCAGAGTAGCGAGAGAGAAAATAACGAGCAGTGAGGAGCACTGGTATATTTTGGAAGGGGGTAAAACAACCCAACCCACACTCTTGTGCTTATTCCCTGTGCATCAGCCAGCAGTGAGTTACTGTGCTTATCTCCTTCGGCCAGACAATAGCAGTCAGGCTGAGAAACTTCTACCTCAAACTGTGCATATTGTACAGGGGAATGAACGGACCATGTTTATATTAAACAGCATATTTACATACCACTAATAGGGTTTTAGGACAAGGGCCGGGGAGGGGGGGGTGAGGAACCTTCTGCAGCTTGTTCATTGTAATTACAGATGAACGGGGGGAGGGGGGAGAATCCTGGCAACAAAAATTTACTGCACATTTTTTTAAAAAAATGGCGACAAAGTCGTTTTTTGCACAGTGTTAGAGTTGTAAAGTTATTTGAAGATATTACTTGCACACACATACACACATGCAGATTGAAAAGGAAACGGAGGTTTGCGTAACACCGACCCTGAACCTGATTTCTGGTTTTGTCTGATCTGTTATAGTTTTATTGAGAGAGTGACTTTTTTAATATTATTTTTGAAGGTACTGTAAATATATCCATATTATAAATTAAAATATCTTAAGAGACTTTATTATTTTTATTTTTAATTCCAAATGCCCACGTGAATCTGCTGTTATTTTAGCTCTCGTGTGTCATTTCCATTTTTCTCTCTGTGTGTGTTTTATAACATATTTATACTTTGGTGCAATTTACTACTGTGTAAGTAATTGGTCTATGTGCAATAAATACCATTGCAGCACAAGCAAGTGTGTCTCTATAGGTTTTGAAACAATACCAACCTATAATGGGAAGAACAGCATTTGTTTTTCTCTAAAGATGGCTCAGATTACCAATACAACTTGATCTAATGGCTTTTCCTGACACAGTGTTGTAAAAAACCTGTTTGAAACCCAGTATGGTTGTGTTCCTGTTGCAGTGAGGTCCACTGACTTCCCTTATTAATGGGAAAAAATTAATGGCTAATGACAAGGTGTTTCCACACTGATAATGAATACTCATTTTCTTGAACTATTTCTTTCTGGAATATATTCTTCTCCTTTTTTTTCTTTTTTCTTTTTTTTTTTTTTTTTTAATTATGTTGTTGTTGTCGTTGGAGTACCTGGCTGGGAGTCAGGAGACCAGAATATTTAAGATTACAGAGGACGCTTAATTTGAAAGCTTGAAATGGTCTTGAGTAGAAAGAAATCTCTGTAAGCATTACATGCCACCCCACAAGTGGGTCCACCTCATGCTGAGAGCAGGTCTGATAACTGAATGTTGTATTTTTCATTGATCTCAGTAAGGAGTTACAGTGAGCAGAAGTGCTGCAGCTTTGTGCCCCTGCTCCGAAAGGTTGTCTTCCTTTATTGCTTTATGAAGGTGTGCTCTATCCTGTGGTTTCATAAAGTTTTTCATTACTGAAATGAATAAATGGCAGACAGACAAACAAAAAGACAGTGTAGAATAAAAGTGAAGTATTTTTTGGCTTTATTAAACTCAGGAGTATAGTTTAATTAAATATCAGCTCCCAGGAACAGCTCTTCCCAGAGCGAGTTCTTAAGGGTGGTGGCTCACGGTTTGTTTTGGAAACCAGTTGTTCATTTTTCTTTGTTTTCAAAGTTAAGGAATTTGTCCTTTGCAATTTCTGATGTTGTATTTTCAGGGGGAAAAAAAAAGTTACTCTTTTTATGCAAATACAAAATAAAGGGACTGGAGAAGTAAATAATACTTTTCCATTGATGTCACTGGAGTTTGATGTGAGCTGCAGTTAATGGTGTCTTCCTTGATAACAGTGAAATGGGCTCCTTAAAATGCTGGGGTGACATCAGATCAGGAGCTAAGTGAAGTGGGCTCTGCCATCAAATAATTAAAAAAAAAATCTGGTTTTATCTTTGATTATAGCAAACACAACAGGACCAGAAGGGTGCCCTGGATGGTGATGTCTGATGCCAGCAACTGCAGCGAGATGTTGGCTGTGCATGTCTGGGATGGGATGGGATGGGATGGGATGGGATGGGATGGGATGGGATGGGATGGGATGGGGAGACAGCGCTGCTCTCCTTGTGCATATTGTGGATCACAGAGCCAGGGCAGGGCCAGGTCCTTGCCTGCTGGGTAGAGCAGGACAGGATCCCAGCACCTGGCTGAGAACTGAAGTGACTGTCAAGCCCTCATCCTCAGCAGGGTGCTAGATCCTGGAGAAGCACAGGGCCTACTGCATGGAGCAGGACAGCCTGATGGACTTGGCTCTTCATCTCATAAATCAGTTCACACACTCAGTTTTAACTATCCAAACACTCCTGCCCTTAGACTTTAAAAAGTAGTGACATTTTTGCTTCAACAGGGTCCAGCTTAGGTGGTGAGAAATTTATGGCCAGAACTTGCTCTGCTTGCCCTGCTGAAGAACTGTACTGGGTGATGCATCTCCTGGACAAGTGTAATGGCACCGAGGTAGGATGAGTTTGGCCCACTGACCTCAGAAGGGCCAGCTGTGTCAGCAAAGCAGTCAGGATTTGCCTGCTGTTGAATTTTTGCCAGTTGAGGACCTGCTGGAAGAGTCTGGAGGCTGACACGTTGAGTGCCTTCATGGACAGCTGAAGTAATCCCACTGGCAGCCTGCACAGGGCACGCCAGTCCATCCTGCACGGCGTGGAAAAGGCAGTGGTACAGTAACAGTGAGGACAGAGCAGGACATATGGCACACACGTGTGCGAGGCAGGGGAGGCTGCTGGCGAGCACTCTGCCGTGGATCACACGCAGAACAGGCTGTTCTCTGCAGGGAAGAAGGATACTCTGAGAAGCATCGTGGGGCAGCTGAAATACTCCCGAGGCAGCGAGTCAAACACTCAGGATGAATAGTTTTTTCTGACGAAAACCAGACATGGATTAGCAGTTGGAGCTGCAAGTCAGAAAGAAAAGGTGGTGGGCATGCGGCTGCACACGTACGTGGGCAGGAGAGCAACAGCAAAGAGCTGCAGGCCTGCAGGGAAGGGAGACACAGGTAAACCAGAAATCCTCTCACAGAAAATGTCCTGCAGCTGCCAGGACCAGAACTGTTTGGCGAGGATGCCTGGAGACTTCCACAGGGAAGGCGCCTGATTCTCCAAGGCGCCGGCCACGCTCCACGCAGTGTTTGCTCAGCACTCCTGAAAAGAAGGCAGCCTCTCTCCACGTGTTTGAGTGGGAATAGATCAGCTTGAAGGACTGCATTCAGTTTTGTGTGTGCTCAGGGAAGTTGAGGCTGTTTCAGACACGCAACAGGCTCTGCAGAAGGACTCCCCACCAGTGAGAGCTGCACAGAAGCCCTCCTGCAAATCCGCTGCACTCTGAGACTGCAGCCCTCAGCATCCACTGTCTGTAGCTCCAAGCAGCATGGAACTATGTGCAAAAAAGGTGGATTATGATCTGAACTGTGCATTTGACAGCATCAGCTGGGTGTTTGAACTGCTGCATGCACTGGCTCTTATGCAGATGCTGCTTTCCCTCTTGGATATCCATGTGTCGTCGACTATAAGGACAACTTCTTTATCAGCTTTTTTTTTCCCTAAACACTATCTGAGGCTGAGATTTTATTAACAACCTTGAAGTGGCTATTTTGCAAACCTTCCTTGTGCTGCACACTTTCCTAATTTATTGTAATTTCCCGTCTGGTGGAGTGCACTTACTTCCTTTATGTAATATATCAGCTGCAGGCCTGGAAATTGGGCAGCTATGAACTGAAAAGAGCAGACTTTCGTGAGGCCAAATGCGGTCAGGCATCATTGCCACTGGGAGCAGAATTTGACCTGATAATCTAATCTCATACGAGACACTATCTCCAGAAAAGTATTGTCACCAACAGCAAATGACCTCTGCTAATGAAGCTGGAGCAATTAGTCCTATTTAAAGCTGTCGAGAAAATGTTAACTGCTAAACAACAGTTAGTGCTGGATAGTTCAAATAATGAGTGTTTTGTTTGCTGGTGTGTGTTAGGTGATGTGTTGGGAAATAATTATCCTTTGACTAGCAGCCAGCTTTGTACTAATCAGAAGGGAGAAGTCATGTTCTGTTTGAAGGATTATAACTAAAAATAGTTCTGTTACCACCACATCAACGAGCAAGATGAAGCAAATTCGCGGTGATGTACACGCCTTGCTAACGTTTCACTTTTCCTCCTAAAAACTCATTGTTCAGCTGGGACTTTCTGTTTGGTTGTGTCAAGAGCACTAATGTGATCTCCTGCAATAGCACTAAGCACACTCTCCCCATGGAGCATTACCCTATGCACCACTGACTCGCTTTCAGACCCTGCCAAATTCCCAAACGGCCCAGGAGGAAGTAAGGATTCTTTCTCTTCATACAAACAATTACACATAATGTAAGATCAACAATATTTTTGGGCAATCATGTGGCAGAAGAAATCGATCTGCTTTTTCTCTGAGATGTTTGTGTGCCTGCCCATCCACCAGGAGCAGCTGCCCATGGTAACAGCAGGTGATTTATCCCTGCAATTCAGTAACTTCAGCCTGCCAAACTCTGCTAGGAAAAGTGACCAAGATGGGAAAAGGATAAAAAAAGGTGATGATGGTGAGCAAACACAGTATTGGCAATGCAAAAAGGAAAACTGGGGTATCTTTGGCCATGCTGTGGGTGTTGCCTTTCACTGATAAAGTGTAATTGGTTTAGAGAGGGATGCACCAGGCAGAGGCACCGTGGAAACACAGGTTAAGAAGTGTTTGAGGTGAGACATTCCATATAGGACCATGCACCAAAGGACTGGCAGCTGAAATATGCCCAAACCTTCCTAGAAGTTTTTCCTATTCTTTGTGGATAACAGCAGCAGAGTAAAGCTCACCTGAGCAGCTTTCAGCTGATGCCAAGCCACGCAGCTCCCTGGCCAGCCACGGACACATGGGACCCCCTCAGCACCCCCTCCTCCCCTCCAAGTGGCTCCAGCCGAGCTTCGTTGGACCTGGAGCTGTCCCCCAGCCTGGAGCCTCCCTCCTGTTCTGTGGTGCCAAGCAGGAGGTGCCCCTGGCCTCGGGGGTGGCAGTGCTGTGGGCAGGTGCTGTGGGGTGCAGGGTGTGCCCGTGCTGCCCCAGGCGTGCTGGCACTGGCTGCCAGCCATGCCCCTGCCCCACTCGTCCTCTGTCCTCCCAACCAGCCACAGAATTGGGCCTGCTCTGCTGGAAATGGAGCAGAGTTTGGGTTTGTTATGTAAACTGGTGATCAGCTTCCTGGTTCACCAACACCAGCAGCTTGGTACTCACATTTGCTTCACAGGCTCACTTTTTTTCTTCCCTTCCCTACTCAGCTTCCAGGTTTTTCATGGTAATGTTTGCCTGCTTGGATTAAGCACCCACAAGTTTAGTTTTTTTTTGTCAGTGCCCTGGCAGCTGTTTGAATCCAGATATGAACTGTACCAGGGGCTGGGCAGTGTCTAGGTTTGGTTTTACTCATTCCTTTCAGGATTGATGCTCAGAGTTATTAATGTTGGCTGCACCAGAGTGCAAAATTCCCAGACAAATAGGAAATGAGTCCTGACCTCCAGGTTCACAACCTAAAGAAGAAAACAGAAGCTTACCATTTGCAGACTTTTGCTATTGGCATGATTAGCAGAGCATCTCAGATGTAATGGTGTACCCTTCCCATCTGATCCTGTGTAATGCACCAAATCCTGTTGTCCTTAATGAGATTAAATGAGGATCTTTTACTAGTTCAGTGCCTTAGCCATTAGCAACTGTTGTGTGTCTCTAGGCAGTGATGTACCTTTGCAAGCCTGGCCCAGTGTCTCTCTCAAAGCCATGATATTTGGCTTCTTCCTACTAAAATTATTTTGATAATTGCTCTTAAGCTTATTGGCACAATGCTTTGAAAAGCAGATCTAAGTGTTTACACCAAAGATGTGCAAACAGAGACACTAAAGAGCTCAAAATCTCAGCAGCTGTTCAGTGTATAAGTATTTCAGCTACCAACAAGCCATTTTGCAGGGCCAGGTGAGTGCTGCAGCCCCCTTAAAACCTGCAAGCTGCCCTCCTTCAGAGAGGGACCCTGCCATGGTAAGGAACAATTGCAGGTGCAGCACAATAGCTCATCACAAAAGGTTTCTCCAGGTGGTAAAATTTGAATAACAGTGCTTTGCTGCCAAAATGTAGGTACCTCTTGTTAAGAAGGGATCGAGAAAAGCAATTCCTAGTGGGGAAGGGAGAACAGTGCTCAGGGTTAAAGTTTCCCTGTGCAGATGGAGAGCCCCACACTGACTGGTCCAGTGAGGGCTACAGACACCCTGGTGATGGACAAATGCCATCCACCACAGCCTCCCCAGGGACACCCTCTGTGCCCCCATCACCTCGGGTGTACAGTGTGTGCCCCTCTCACCTGCCTGGGTGTCAGAAGGCACCTCTCAGAATCTCTGCTGCTCAGAGTGACTCTCAGATATGTACAAGCCTCTTTTCCCAGCCCAGCAGTTGAAGAAGGAGTCAGGATTCTTCTGTTCTCGTTCTCAAGGTTGTTTATTATTTCTTACCTGTAACATTCTTTCTCTGACCCGCCGCAGGTCTGCCTGGCAGGTCAGGTTGAGGCACACTGACTGCCCTCAGAGGTTGTGTTATCTTTTTATACTCAAAACTACGTGTACATCATTTACCAAAACTTCCCAATATCTATCACCTAAGTTAGACAGTGAGTTTCTACCTTTAACCAATCCAAAAGTGCCAGCATCACCCAGAACATGGAGCTTAGGAAGAAGAAAGAAGAAGGACAGGGTACACCCAAATTCCTCCATCTTGGGACCTCAAGCTCCCATTCTAAAAACCTCAAAAATCTATTTTTCACCCTGTGACAAACTAACTGTTATTCTACCTAAACTCTCTTGACTCATAATTCTTCATATAAAGGTGGTAATTTGCTCCGTGGGTCAAAATCAAAGTCACAGGTGTCTTGGGCCTGGTGCCAAGGTCCCTGAGCCCCCTGGCAGGGGCTTGAGCCATCCAGGACAGCCAGAGGGATGTCCTGGCTTCCAACAGGGATCCAGAGGTGTCCTGAGACACAAAGGTGAGTGTCAGCCTGCACTGCCACCTCTCATTGTGCAGAGAGGGAGGAGAGCTTCCTCTTGGACTGCAGCAGGTGAGCTGGGAGATGTCCCACAGAGCTCCCATTGCTCCGAGCCCGCCTTCAGCCAGGGCTGCTGTGTTTGTCTGTTCTTCCCCTAAATACTCACTTGGGAGCCATCAAATAAGATCTCAATTAGCTGACTTAGGAGGCAGTGTGGGCTGTGCTGGCTGGCAGGCAGCGCTCCCTGGCAGGCAGGGATCCTCCATCCTCCATCCTCCATCTTCCATCCTCCATCCTCCATCTCCATCCTCCATCCTCCATCCTCAATCCTCCATCCTCAATCCCCCATCCTCCATCCTCCATCCTCCATCCTCCCTGGAGGAGGCAGGAGGGCGATGTGGGACCTGCTGCTCACACACAGCCCTGCCCAAGCATCGCTGCTACCCCAGAGGATTCCTGTCCCCAGACTGGGACAGCTACACCTCCAGTGCACCCAGGCTGGATCTGACACGGGAGCATCTCAAAACAGCTCTCAAAACAGCCTGTGTCCAATACTTGGGATTTTTGGAGCTTTTCTCTCACGTGCAGCACAAGGCAGGTGCTGCAGTAATTGCCAGTCACAACAGGTGCTGTGGCAGTGCTCTGAACCACCTTGAGAGCATCCACGGGAGAGGTTTTGTTCCTGTTTCACTGCCAGCCAGTTCCAGCTGTCTGGCAACAGCGTAGATGCCTGTCTGTGGTTTTTAACATCAGCCTGTCCAAGTCAGGGCTAGTGCTTGCCCCCTCTCCTCCCCAGCCCTCAATTCCCAGTCCATGTCCTGCTTCCCAGCCTGGCTCTGCTCCCTGTGCTGCTGCAGGGGCAGTGGCTCCTTGGCTGGAAACCAGCCCGTTCAGACAAGGCTTGTTTCAGCTCACCCAGCATGTTGCACCAACAGGGGTAACAACTGGCACAGGAAGATGCAGAGTGATGGGTTAGGGATCATCTGGTTTGGTAGCAACCTTGATTTGGATCCATCACTGTGATCACCAATCTCATGTCCAGTGGTGATGCTGCAGAAGCTGAGACAGATCAGACCTCTCTGGCCCATTGTTTTGCTTGATTGGTGCTGAAAAAGGAGGGCTTGCTGCCCAAACCTTCCCTCTGTTTCAGAAGCTGCTCTGAATATTCTATTCAGAGGCATAGTGACTAAGCCATTAAGCTTCTCACTGTATGGGAAAAGTCAAAATATTATTTATTTTTTTTTTACAAATACTGATGCAATAGAAAAAAAATTATTTGTCTGATTATTTCCAAGACCAGAGCATGGAGCATGGGACAAACTTTTGACAGAGACTGGGACCAGGGCAGCTACAAGAGTAACTCATATGGGTCACAGCACTAAACTGTCCTCAAATGCAAGAGGGTGACATGGCCACAAGCCAGGGACAGTGGAAAAATAATTTCCCAGGAAGAAAGCTCTGTTTGCCCTGAGTATCTGTATGAATCCCAACACTCATGGGCACCACTGAGCAGTTAGGGGCTTGTGAGCAAACCCCATAATGTGTGTCTGCTGGTGAATGATGTTTAGCAGCTTTTATTCCTGCACACTTCACTTATGTGGGAGCAAGGAATGTGGTGATAAAAAGGCTGGAATGATTTCAGTGCTGGATAGTTTCCATTAATATATTTCTCGTTATATAACGCTGCCATCCCAGTACAAAATCCAGAAAGGTGCCTTTAGGAAGGTGGGACTTTTCTCCATAGCTGCAGTTAGGGAAGTGGGGCTGTAGAGCAGGCTGGGCTTTGATCAGACAATTTTTAATTGCACCGGATGTGTTTGGGCTATTGCATGGTATGAATTTTTTGCCTGTAGGTTACAAGGCACCTCATAAATTAAAAGGTTGATGTTGTCAAATGCATGCCATTAGCACTCCAAGCAGATAATCCTTCCCATGGCCTCATCAGAGTCTATCTCAGAGCCTGTCTCCAGATAATGGCCTGGAAGAAGAACAATGGTGCTCCCAGCTCCCAGGGGCCTCCACTCTTCTGTTCTGTGCTTCAGAGAAGAAAAATTATCATTATCTGCATGGCTCAAGCTCTCTTTGAAATGCAGTTATTTTTTACTCATACACTCCCAAGTATTTTTTACGTGATATCAGTGAGAAACTTGAAACCCCCTTTGAGAAGAGAAAGATTTCCTGCAGCCCTACTACTAAAGAAAATGGATAGATCAAGTAGTAAAGTTCAATGACTTACTTAGCGTTAAATAAGAAAGAGAATAATGAATTGGATTTTGTGTGCCTGGTCTTCCTCTGCAGGGAGCAGTCAGGCTAATGGATTTTCATTGCCTTATGCTTCTGTTCATCAGCCTAGGTGAGTTCAAAACACTCTTGCCTTTTTATGTTCTCCTTTCCCTGCCCACTTGTCACAACTTCGAGTATTTGGAGATCAGCAAACACATGGATTTGCTGCCATCAGCACCATCTTGACTGGGGAGGAAAACACAGGGTTAACCCCTGCACCCAGTGATGACTTTTGGCTTCAGGGGCATCTGTATTTTATGCTTGGTAGCTGCAAGTAGACAATTCCTTACCTAGGGTGGACGCTGATTTCCTACTATTATGAATTCAGGCTGTAACGTCCTTCAAAAAAGACATTATTTCCCCACTGGGTTCACCAAATATTTGTTGGGTCTCCAAACCCTCCTCTTTGTTTAGAGGATTTGCCAAACATGCCGTAGGGCTTTTATTGGGGAAGGAAGGGAGGTGGCGGAGGAGGAAACGATTACAAAGCAATTTAACATAAACAACTTTCTCCTGTAAACTCCAGACACAGCCTGGCAGGGAAGAGGTTAAAGCTAGGGGGTGGATGGGGAGACTCATTAGGGCAAAGTAATGAATAGCAAATTGAAAAGCCCAGGGAGAGGCACAGGGGGAGAGATGAGCTGACCCTCCATGGGACCCCAGAGGGACTCTCTGGCTTGCTGGAAGCCCTCTGCTGCTCTGACCTCAGGCTTTGGACCTGGTTCCTCCTTCAGCATGCCAAACTGGGGGATGCTCAGACAGAAATTCTGCAGAACTGATTTGGAGTCATATTTCAAAGGTGAGCCTGAAAGGTTTCCACAGAGCCAGAAATTGCTGCTTCCTGCCCCAAACCTTTGCTGGGTCTGCCAGCGCTGCCCAGAGCCAGGGAGCTGCTCTCTGCCCACTTGGAGCAGGATTTCCGTTTTCCTACCAGCCTTGGTGCCTCAGGCTTTGTGGTCTGTTTTTGTCTGAGTGGGAAATGCATAATGACAAACAGTTTAAACAACTTATGGTACAAGGAAACTCGTGGAGTAAAGTACAGGACTCCAGTTTGTTTCCAAGGAAGTGATGCACCCTCCAAAACACTCCACTCAAGCACTGGTATTGGGAGTGCAGGTTCATTGTGGCCATCCTCAGTGCTGCCTTCAGCCCTCAGCTGGGCTGGTGCTCAGGCACAGCTGAATGCCTGAGGTTCAGGGAAGGTCTGGCTCTGGGAGCTGTCCTGACTCTTGGTTTGCTTGTGTGGGTAATTCTGGTCATCCTGGTGCTGGGGAAGGGAAGCCCAGGAGCCACAAAAGCCACAGAGGAATTCTCTTGTTCTATTTCCAGCCCTGCTTTTTAAGACACAAAGGTTTTCAGAGCAGATGCATTTCTGAAGCT